AATGAAATTTATTTGTTCTTGTTATTACTAAAACAACAAAAGCGGCCATTATGTGGGCTCTAATACCCAATTCAGCAGAAAATTATAAATAAAAGCAAGCAATTTTTCAGGAGTACACAATACATACAAACATACCAAAACCACCCAAATTTGGGTATACTCCGAAGAGGGATTTGTTGGGCGAAATTGGTACATATTAATCTTGCTGTGGAAAATTGGTATGTATGTATGTATCTCTTTATGTGCACCTACATACATACATATATCTACATATGATGTGTATGTATATGTATGTACAGTATGTATATACATATATTGTAAAGCGAACTTTTACAGTTCGCTCGCTTTGTTTAAGTTTTTAATGTAATTTTTACTTTTTTTTGTGTTTGACTTTGCCTTCAAGAGTTTTCTATGTACCCATACTTAAATTCAATAATTTTTAATTTACGCGGTTTTTTATTATCAGCAGATTTCACTGTTGTGTCTTGTAAGTGTTTTTGGTATTGTTGTAATGACTCACTGCCATTAAACAGCTGGTTTTAACACTGTCTGGCCTCTGACAAGCGCTTGCGAACTTTCTCCTCCGTCAGTTGACTTTCGTGCTTCTCAGCATAAAAATTGCAAATAATCTCACCTTTAAATTATAATAAATGAAAATTTTATATTCACTTCAAATGCCTTTTGAGGTTTTTTTTTTTGGCTTTGCACATTTGAGCCGCTATCAACGTAAGCGGCTGGATGCCATGTTGTATGAGTAATTTATGTATTTGCTTCGTTGACGTCAAATGAATGAAAGATGCTAATAAAAAACCAGAAATTAGCGAAAGTCGTCTCGCCACAATGGATTTGACATTTCAATTTTTAAAAGTGGAGCTGTTGTGAATATTGAATGGGAAAATGCCACTAGAGAATTTGGAACTTTTGAATGAAACAGACTGAGAATATGTACATATGTATGTATGTAGATAAAAACTACAAGAAGAGAAAAATATGACACTGAGTGAAACCACTTAACGGCATTCAGATTCGTACTACGAAGGATGAAGCTGCAAAAAAGGCAATCACAATTGTAAGGGCACAGACGCATAACCCAGGAGATGTTAGGTCGTCGTTGAACTTCAAAATTTCCGGCCAGTATCATTCACAGAACTGCGCTGGCTAAGAAATACAAACGTTGCGAATATTAATCAAAAAGGACTATTAATATGATTTTCACATGTATATAATTCGGCCAAACGTCATCTAGAGTGCAAATTGCCTAAAAAAAAATTAAATTATAAACTGTTTAGTATAAATACTACGTTTTTTTTTTAATGGATTAAAAAGTTGAAAATAATTTTTCTTAGACTCATAAGTAGAATTAGTCTTGAAAAGCTTTGATTTTAAAATTTTAACAATAATCCTTATAAACATACATATATATGTTATAGAAATGACAACTGATAAATATCAAATAACGATTTTTAGCAATTGATGATATAAGAGAAAAGTGAAAATGGAATTGCTAAATAACTCTCATCACTTCAAGTCCACTACAAGTGCCCCAAAATTTTCATTTTAAGTCTCATAAAGGGTTTAGAAGGACTATTGTTAAAATTTTATAATCAAAGATTACATCCTCATCAGACTGATTTGGGTTCCGGGGTATAGCCGAATGCCGATTAATTGGCCAGACAGGGCACCATAGAAGCCATCACGGAGGAAGGGGAGGTCATTGGGGCGCCTATGGCAACCTGCGGAATGCTTTTGGAAAAATGGGCGGAAACATCAAAATGCAAAGTTCCAAGGTCCCTTTGACCCGTAGTTGATGGTGGGCGGTCTAGGAAACTTCTCCAGCTCACTAAGAAACAAACTGGACACTACCCAATGGGTATTCATGCGGTACCCGATGTGCCCCGGCTGTCTAGAGAGAGATGAGGTAGAATCATTTCAGCACTACATTTTCAGCTGCCCTCCGGTTTAAACATCTCGGCTCGTACTTCATAATTGCTCTAGAGGAACTCTCTGGAGTGGACATCAGCTGCTTGCGGAACTGCATAACTAGGACCCAGCGCTTTTCTATTCTTATTTGATTATCCGTTGTACCATTCCAGGAAAATATTTTTTTTTTTTAGTGGTAACACAAGATTCATTAGCAGTCCTTTTGTTGTCAACGTTTCTGAGGTATCTGAAGACATTCAAGAAGAAGTGATTGAAATGCAACACGATAGTAACCAGAAAGATGCATTCGGAAAAGGCATTCATCTTGAAGATTTTTGGACCCAAAATGTAATTTCTTTCCTAGTGATTCGAGAATTGCTTTAGCTTTGTTTTCATCGACACAAGTTAGGGTAAGGGTATGCAGTCACAAAAATCGCATTAAATAAAAGTCTTTGTAATGTAAAATTTTTGTAAAAACGTAAACAATTAATTTACACTTACAATATTGGTGGTCCGTGGAACGACAGAAATTTTGAAAATGGTTCCTAATCACTAAGAGGTTAAGAACCACTGGCATAACCTGACCTCATCAGTCGCTGATGACAAATCACCATGGCATCACAAGACGGACGTCACTATGTAAATTCCGCATCAACAAGTTGAAGGTATGTTTATCTCACGCAGAGTTGAGCGGTGATTTGACTATAATCTGTGGGGTTTCCTAAAGTAACAGGCCTGTGCCAATAAAGCCAACATAAGCTAGGTCATCGTTCAAATTCAGCCGGACCTAGGCGGCAGAGTGATTGAAAATTGGAACACTGGCATCTATGTCCCCATAATAAGCCTTGGCGGATATGTAAACGATATTATATTCCATATGTAGCATTAACACACGTGGGACTTTCAAAAATAAAAAAAATAAGATTTTCGTTTTATCATTTTTTTATTTCAACATCTACTCGCCCTTATTGGAAAACCCTAATACCCAAAATCACATTACATCTATATATCGATATAACACTTTGGGAAAGAAACCCAAATTGCGAACAATTGTTAGCAGAAATTTTATATAAATTTTGCTTAGTAATTGATGAATTTGTGTAAAAGTGTTTCGAATAAACAATAAATAATTAATTGAGTGAATGCGTCGTAAAACTTCGTACCTTTTAATGCTGATTAATCTAAAGGTAATAAATTAATGACTTAAAAAATATACAAATACATACCTGAGAAAGGGGCAAAGTAAAGGGTAGCCAGTGATGCATGCGTACATACACAGACATGTTTGCACCCCGCGATAGATCACAAAAGTAAACCGAACGCAGTTAATTTTGCGGATTTTCCAGTTTGAAATACAAAATACGAAACAATTAATTATCGCAGCATATACAGCTGGAAGAAAAAAAAAAACAGCGAGTGAACCGAAGTGACAGTGGACAGTGGGCGTGCCCGCTTGTGGGGCGTGGTGTGGGCAGATAGCTCAATGAAAATTAATTAAATAACTCACAAGAAACACAAACAACAATACGAGCAGCAACGAAGCTGTCTACGGCAACAATAAAACAATAACGGAGTTTATTGCACAAACAATAGAGAAAGTATTGAGAGCCAGTGAACCAGTGAACCAGCGATTGCGAGTGTTCAATTGTTGAATTAAAAAAGAAAAAAAAAAAAAAGAAAAAAGCATGCAAATGAAAAGCAATAAAATTAAAAAGCGGAAAATGCTATAAATAAAATCAGCACATCCAGCCTGAATGTGGCCCAGATCAATTATACTAATGCACTCATTAAGAAATTGAAAACAGCGGTAGAAGGGAAATGCGAATAAAATTGCAAGAGAAAATTGTCAGACTGCTATGGTTGCAAAACAAAAAACAACAAAAAAAAAAGAAACAGAAATGTAAAACTTTGTTGGCCAAAGTCAGAAGTGAGGAAGAAATATGGTCATTGTGCTAAGTGCAATACAGCAGCATCCGAACTGAAGTGAAAATTGTGGAAATGCTGAAATACACTCACATGCAAGCTTACATACTACTTAAGGAACATAAAAAAAAAAAACAAAACAAAACAAAAAAACATGGCGGAGAAAAGTCAGCATATTGGTAAAAACGTGTAGTTTAAACTAAGCAGCACAAAATAGGTAAATCTGTTTAAGTAAGAGCTGCTCTAAAATTTGCTTCAGAAATTGGATACATTTCGGTAGTAATTTTTTTAACTATTACAAAATGAAAATGAAAAACTCTAAAGCATTGTGATTATTAACAGTTCCTTTTTGAGCAAGGACTGTTAAGCATACATGTCCAAATTAGCACGTAAAAGGGCCTACAAGTAACCAGCTGACAAAAAAAAAACCGAATTCCACCACTGTTGGGATACTTAAAAACAAAACGAAGAGATAGCACTCAGCTATCTGCGGAAGCTCCATTGACCATTCGTGTTGGCAACTGCTGTATGAGCTGCTTTCTAATAAACACTCGTTGAGCGCAGGTTGCCACAGGGAGTTCTATGCCCTCCCTCCCACAAGAGATGACACTAAGGGTGTTCTGCTCCTGCTCAGCTATGTAGTTTGATGAAGAGATCAGAATTTCGATGCAGAGAGGCCCGAATTTCAGGACTTTTTTTATTTATTTTAATTTTAAAAATTGTGTTATTTCTTCTCATATTTTTTTAGTTATCATTTTTTGTTATTTTTATTTA